CTACAAGAACATGACCTGTTCAGTTATGACTACAAGAACATGACCTGTTCAGTTATGACTACAAGAACATGATCTGTTCAGTTATGACTACAAGACCTGACCTGTTCAGTTATGACTACAAGAACATGACCTGTTCAGTTATGACTACAAGAACATGACCTGTTCAGTTATGACTACAAGAACATGACCTGTTCAGTTATGACTACAAGAACATGACCTGTTCAGTTATGACTACAAGAACATGACCTGTTCAGTTATGACTACAAATGCATATTTTTGAAGTTGCACCAGACTTTCATGAGGAGACAAACGCTCTTATGTCGCTACAGCGTGGATATGAAAGTAATGTTGTTTCATCATTGGCATAGAAAAGCCGATTTTGATGTGTCTTGTTAGCTGAAGTGTTTATTACACCTCGGCTGAAGGAAAACATGCTATATTTTGTGAAAAAAATCATATAGAAAGTGCTTCAAGAAATACAATTATCTTTAGATGGAATGTGAGAGTTGATGGCTTCGAGGATGACTGAAGAATGCTGATGTTGATCAGCATCAAAACGATCGTCCTAATCCGGGAAATAATGCAAGAAGAGCATAGGATTGCTTGCATCTCATTTTGCAAAATCAAAACAATTCTGTGCAAAAATGCGGAAGTAATCGAGTTCCATGTTTATAGGATGTCAAAACTATTAAGCGTTGCTAAAACATTCTCAGAGCAGACATTCGACCCTAAATTCTCCAATAAAATTACTTGGGCTATGCCAGGGGTCTCCATAAATTATTCATTTTTGAATAATTTAGAAGTGTTAGGAGGTAATGGAAGGGAACAGGAAATTAGTTCTGACATTATGCGCGGAAATAGTAAATTATTACAGCCGGAAGGGGGGGGGGGGGAGAGAGAGGACAATGACGATCTGCCAGATCATTGAAGGGGGTAATGGAGCATCCGAATGTGGGCCAGACGTTCAGGTAAGACGTTAATATTACTAACATATGCGAGTTAACATCATGGACCAATTCAAAGATGGTATATCTGGGGTTTTCATTCATCAGCATCTGAGCTTTACCGATAGTTCTGGAACTGATCGATGCTGATGGTCTGCTTTGTCGACGGTCACTTTCTCTTTCCGCTTTAAGCATTCATTTATCCAACGATGAGGTACCTTCTCCTCTAACCCATAGTAAATCATCAGTGACCAAATTTCTTTTGTCTTCCTGCAGAACTTAACTGAAGAATTTCACCAAACCAGTACTTGCTGAAGATTTTCCTAGCTCGACCAAAGTATGCTGTATTCAAGATTGCGTAACAATAACGCATGGCAAGATATGATCAGCTGGCTCGCGAGATACTTCAAAATTACTTGTCATTCCTTGTCATCAAATCCACCATATCGCCAAAGGGTTTCAGTCAGTGTGTTGCGGAGACGGAAAAAAAGCTAAAGACGGCTAAAGGCATAGACGAAATTTCGTAATCGGGGACCTCAGAAATACGGTCAGCTCAAAAAAAAAGTTGATTCGGGGCTGGGATCCCTGAAATTTGCCGAGCTTCTCAACACACCAGTATTAAAGTATGCTGTAAATGCATGCGATTCGCTTTTCGAAATATAAATCTGCAAAAGCGGTTGAAACACAACACTTCACTTCCACTTCTCTACAGTACCTTAATACAAATGATTTTAATTCGGATTCTCAAAATATCATGTGGAAACATCCAAGCAGAGAAGGAAGTTACAGACTGCACTCATGGGTATGGACGGACTATAAAAGCAGTCATCCTTGTGAATCGAAGAGAAGGATGTAAGCCACTAGAGACTTCATGCCGATGAGTAGCTTCAACGAGCGTCGATCATTTCTATCACATACCTAGTCATCCTCAAGGACGCGACAGTGTAAGTATGGAGAATATATTCAAATTTTTGATAGTTTGCTTATAACTTAATGTTGATTATTGCGCACATTTTATTCTATTTTCAGAAGCGAAAGTGATGTTCCTGCTGCAAAGAGGATATTCACGCTATTTCCTGATCAGTGATTATGAAAACTTTTTCAAGTTATTCATTATCAGCGCTTTTTTGGTCGGACGTCCTCAAACTCCTTGAGAGGGGTCTTGGCAACTGAAATCATCCAGAACAACTATTTGGTTGCCAACGATCTACGATCATTTCCTCATTTACTGTACAGTGTCATAGATTCCCTCGTTCACACATTACTGCCTTGATTGTATACTGTATCGATAAAGATGCTAACAATATATTCATATTTTACCTGCTTAACAATCTTTCGATATATATCACATAAGTCAGTGTGTAGTATAGAAATAGCATGTAGCTCTTCCCGATTTACCCTCGGACTGATGTTGTAATACTTTTGTTGCATTGTAGAATGTTTTTTTTAAGTGGTTCATCAGCAAGACAGCACGAAACAACAAGCTCAGCAAAGTTTCGTATCCTATCATCAATATGCTGAGTTGCAAATAAATAGGTCAACTTACTTCTGAAATCGCAGCATTTTTCCACGAATTTTTTTAGTCATTCACATATACAGTTTTTTGGTTTGAGAAAACCTGCTGTAATGAACCCAAATATACACATTGCCTGAAAATGGTTCATCTTATTCAGCATATATGTCAAAACTGAAAATTATACTTGCGATATTCCTATAATAGTGCATTGTTGAGCAACATACAGATAAAGTTAGGTGGAACGATGAAATCGCTCAGCTACGTGTAAGAATCTGCATTTTTTAATTATTTTGATCCATATCTAAATTGTCTCTTTTCAAATTATCATTGTGGAAGTATTTCTACAAATGTAGAAATAATGAACTTATTAAGGTCCACTTGGTGACTTCATCTGGTGACCTCGCAGTTCGCACTTGAAAGATGTATAACATACTTCGAAAGTTAGCTGTGTCTTTCTAAGGCAGGATTTCCCTCTGGGTCATATCAATTTTTTTAAGAGAAAAATCTGCCAAGAAAACCTCAGACTGGGCGACGATCCTGATCGTACAGGTCGCTTGAAAATATCACTCTTGATATTTCTATAGTTAAAGGATACCTTTATAGCTGCATATGTGAAACTCAGAATTATCCGTTGGCAGCTTATAACCTTTCACATTCTCAAAAAATCTGCTTCATCGAATGCTGAGAAGAAATTGTGGGTTGCTGGATAAACCTGAGGACACGATTAGCTTGAAAATGTTTCTCCTAATATTCTTACTAGACCATGAAATAACGCAATTTTGCAAACGAGCGATCTTACACACACTCAATATATCTAGTCCAGATTCTCGATAATTGCTTACGGTTCGACTTCAATATGATCTGGAATGAATGAAGATGGTGGAGTTGTTTTCGGCTTTCGTCAAGCGGCTAATGCATAGTTATTTCGAAATTCAAACGTTTTCTGCTTCATTTAATTGTTCGGTGTAGGCAGAGCGAGTCGAAAAGTTGAGATGCATGACGAAACGTTCATATAAATGTGATGAAGCGCTACTATGCTGAGGTATTGAAACCGAGAGGAAATCACTTGTAACTCGTTCGAGCACTTTATCAAAGATACGCTTGACGCTTCTATTGAATTCGTTCAGTTTTCAGCACGATGCTTCAATGGTTGAATTTTAATAATACATCCATATGATTTATATGTTTGTGAATTAACTTTTTCAAATGAATCTTTTTATATTGTTTTTTATGTATGTGCCTGTCATGCGGTGTGATTGTTTTCTGGAATTGATAACACTGCGATGTTATGTTATCATTGCTTTTTTTTTCATTTACTTCAATGTGAAGATTGCGCGAAGTTTGCTGATAGCGTTGTGTAATTTTTGCCATTAATCAGATATCCATTGCAGTAATTTTGATTCTGTCGAGGCAATCTGGTACTTCATGTCGAAAGATTTCATGGTGTATTTTTTCTCTTGAATTACATGTTTTCAGATAAAGACCTTGGGAAATTAAGAATGATACACTAGAACTTTTGCACTGCAAATAAATGACTGCTATTGTTGTAGGGAAGAATGTTGCAAAGCACAACTCATTTCTTCATTCATGCTCGGTTTTGAAGTTGAGGATTTTTATTGCTAGCGTTCAGTTTATTTAGAAGATGATGGAACTTGCGTAAATTATGGAGCATGCTTTCACGTATCGCTTTAATCGTTGTGTACGCAGTTATTAGCGTATGAAACGAGTGGTAATTGAATTGCAGGCGTTTAGTTGTTGATTGCTTTGATGTTTGAATTGGTACAACCTTCAAAAGAACAAGCATACCAACAGTCAGCGAATCGGGCAGGTGCTCAACTTTGTAAATCATGTCAGACGTCGGACATACGTCATCTTACACTCTAGAATCCGCGACGACTCGGTCATCTGAGTATAGTGTTGCGAATGAAGATCGATTTGCGGTGTCTGTTTCTGCTGAGTATGTTTATTTGGCAATATACAGTGATATTACTTACATCAATGCTTCCGAGAGTGGGCATTTGGCGAGGGTGAGAAGGAAGTGGGAAATTGCGGGTGGGAGACAGTGGAGGGTGTGTGATCTTCAGTATTGTCATGGTTGTATGATGCAATCAAGAGATCCTTTGAAAACAGAAAAACTATCATTCACCACATTTTTCAATTTCGTAATGAATTAAAAACAGAGAAGTAATTTCACGAAGTTCAAATTGAGGAAATGTACTTCTGTTGCTGGAATTAGTATGAAATATGAATTAATGTACTTCGTTTTTGTGAAATTAATCTCATCAATCAAGTAATTTATACTGTAACATGAGCATGGTTGATTGCTCGCATTGTCAGGTGGGATATACCAGAATGGTTGAATGATGTTCGTGAAGTGTTGTATGTTGAGTCGAATAACACGATGATATTCCGTTACAACAACGGATCGATAGCAGTAGTTGATGCCAGTTTTGAGAATTCAGCACCGCTCGCATCGGCTAAATATAATTCTCCAAACGCTCAGGTTAATCACGTATCCAAAATTTCTGATATTTTATTAGCTCTCATTTGATTTTTATTCTAGATAGTGCCGTTTAGTTCGTCAAATTTCATTTGAAATTATGTTGAATATTTTATGGGATTGCTCGCTGTAGAAGAGAGCCAAAATTATGGGCATTTTCAGGTATTTTACGATAAGCAGAACGGTGTGATGGTATTCCTGGATGAACGAAACATTTGCTTTAGAAGAGAACATTCGGGAATGTTTCTCATTAAAGGTGCATTGACAGTTCAAGATAAGAATAAGGCGACAATTTCTATTGAAATACCTGCTGAAGAGGTGTGTGCATTTTTAAAGTGTTATAGTCAGTTCCAGTTTCTGAAGTCGTAATGATTCTGCTGAAGAACGGATCTACCGTGAATCTGATAGTTAAGAATTACTGCACCAGAAAGTGAAATTAGGCAGTAATTTTTGACTGAGAATAATTATGGAATGAGTTCGTTGATTTACTCAGCAAAGGAACGAATAAACCTTCTCTGTTGTTCACAAAGCATTCTTCAATCTCAGTCATATATTTAAGCTCACAGTTGATGGTTCATATTATGTTGATTCTTTAATAAATTTATTCAAGGCATCAAAATTCGTACAAGCAGCTACAGCAAGTGAAGAGTCTATAATACATCGAAGACCGTCCTTAGCATCTTTCATCGCTAAGCTCTCTTCGCTTCTCAACTCTGTATCAAATACATCGGTAAATTTTCATTTAATCAGCATCTTGTTATTAGTGCATCTATTTTCTTTTATGTAGGTTATTTTCGTATGGTTTTCGACAAAGAGTCGTAGACACGGTTCATTACGCTTTTTCAATGAAATTAAATCCTTTGCTTCAAATCGAAATTTCATTTGTATAATAATTCGCAAAAGTGTTTAACGCATATTTCTTTCATCAGTTTTGAGCATCTAATCCGATTATCTGTATAAATGTTATATCTTAGTCGTTTCTCATTCGCTGATCGTAATTAAGTTTTCGATCGGTAAGTGTCCACCTCAGTTGTCTGATCGGTGGTTACTGTTGATAAATGTTTCTTTAGTGGAGTTTCGATCTTCCATTCGATAAGATCACGACTGTTAAAATTTTAATGCTGTTGTTTTGTGATAATGAAAGATTGGATTTCGAATGTTGCTGGGTAGTTACGAGATCCGAGGCGCTGGAATCTTATTCACTGAGTACAATTAAGAAATTTACACTCTGAATCGCATAATTATGTTTATTTTTTTTGCTTAATGTTTTGATCTACCACGAGATCAGCTCAGTTTTATCATGAATTCATGGAAAATCGTCGTTTTCTTCGGTCTCCCAGATTTTTTTTTGGATTTTGCTGGAATGTTACATAGTTCAGAATGCCAGAAACCCCTCCACTGGTTGAGGTTAAGAAATTCGCAGTCGGAAACAGCGGTG